TTCCACAGTACTGCCAGTCTCTTCAATCTTTTTACCCAGGATATCTAGAAGTAAGCTCACGTTCTCAAACTTCATTCCGCGGCATGCGGAATGAAAATCAAACCACTCGAAAGCAAGTGACTGGGAGCCTTCCGCCTCTTGTTCATTCAATTTTTGAGCCGCTTTCTCGTATTCTCTACCGATTATAGCTTCGACGCCATGCTTTTCAACTAAGTTTACTAATTGTATAGACCCATATGTCTTGCCCATAAGTTCGAAGTGTTTCTTAAACGCTCTAAAATTTGCCTCTGGAGAATGCTGCAATACTGGAATCGGTTTAAGAGAATATGGGGATTGTGTAAAGAAAAGTGGTATACTACCTCGGACCTGAACAAAAGAGGAAATTTTAGATGAAGGGCTCCACGTTGGAGTCGAGAGTATCTGTTCCGTCTCGACAAAATTAGCAGTATAACCGTTTTCATCTATACCACGTCGTAGATATCGAAGTCCAGCTCGCCTAGTGGACCTTCTGGAAATAATGGTGATAATAAACTCCTTCTCAGACGGCCTTAGGTCACTAGATGCTCTCTCTGGTGGGGGGAATTCGACATTGGACTCTAGGGGGGACGTCATGCTGTTCATTTCCATGGAATCTTCTTGGGAATCGACTTGCGGTGGATGATGATCCACAACGAACCTCCTCTGTCCCACAAAACCCTGCATTACTGGTAATAGTAATGATTCGTCACTAGATCCGTGGAACGGCTTTAGCAAACTACGGTTCCAAAAGAATGTGGGATCGGCTCCTTCGTAAAGTGGGAGGCCATCTGTAACTGATGTGCCGGGGTGGCTGCCAAGACTCCTCGTAATATCGAAATCATAGGAGAAGAAGAAGCTCTTGGACGTCCCGAGCCAGATATGCGCAAATCGTAATAGCTTTGGCATTAGGCTCTCACCAGCCGATGGCGTCGGAGGAGGGTCAACCTTCTCCTGCACGACGGTGTCGCTCAACTCCTTATCTGTATCTCCTTTCTTCGCCTTGTTGCTCTCATCGCCGGCCTGGTCGGGCCCCCGGTCAGTTTCGACACTGGTAATTCCTAGGTTTCGCTTCTGGTCCATCATCCAGCCTTTGCGGCTAAACCAGCGCTGTGCAAATCGCCCATAGCTTCCGCGGCGCTTTATGACATCTTCGGCTATGCTACTCTTCCTGCCTGTCCCTGGCGCGTCCTTGGCTTCAGAAGTCTCACGATCGCTTATAGCTCCTGGGTCTTCCGCATCGTCGCCACCTAATACTGAACGTGTATCAACCTCGCTCTCTGAATCACTGTCGTCGACAAATTTCTCGGGTGATGTTTGTCGTAGTTTTATTGCTGTGTTCGCAACGGCCGGTTGGGCCTCGCTTTGACTCGTACACGGGGTGAGCGCGACATCAGTGACGACATAGACAGGAAAGCCGCGAACTTGCGCAACTTGCTGGCGGCCGGTGATTGTGATAAGGTAGGTTAGACGGGAAACAGTGAAAAGCCCTAATGGAGAAGCCCAATTAGAGATTGCCTGAACGAATCTGTTTGCGAGCGCTATTTATTCTGGATAATACGAACCTACAACCCCAAAGGCCTCAAAGGACGAGTTCGGTTTCGAGGTGTCTGGTGTATGATCGCGAGGAAGCGAAGATACTGCAGCATCTCCATACTTGATTTTGACGGGCGCAGGAGTTCGTTGTCCTTTTGTCGCAAGAGGTTGGACTATAAGGCCGTCGACGGCTGCACATACAAGCAGCTTTCGCGCTAGATTAGGCATTCTTAATGTCTAAGCATTCAATCATGATACTCGTAAACCTGTGAAAAGACTCTATTATATTTAGAATGAAAAGAAATTGTATCAATCTTGAGTGAAGGTGATATATGATCATTTTCAGGGTCTTTGCTATGATGTCTTGGATGATTTAGTTTTTGGTGGGGTTGCTGATGCCGTCACACGGTGGGGCAGAATCTCTAAGGGCTGGTTGGTCTAGGAGGCGCGCAGATGCAGGTGTACATGTTACATACCACGCAGGTACGTAAGGTACGTATATTAAGGTTGTACATATTAAGGTTAGTTAGATGTACTGGGTCCTAAGATGTGCCAATGGCTTAAGAGCTTAAGCAGGCACGCCATAATCGCAAAACATGGGGCCGAAAAGTAGGGTCAAGACTTTATAGCGAATACCGAACTGAGAAGCGCTTGCTGATGTGCAGATTATATTCTCTATATCTGCATATATTCTTCCCCAAGCTACAGACCTACACCTTTTAGCCCAGTATATTCCCCAACGTAGCACCCTGACATTCTTTCCTGGCTCTAGGGGTATCTTAAATCATGAGACGCTCGATCTTGTCCCTCAGACTGCGGATCTGGCCCGAGAGGTCGCTTGCCTCGTTGGAGAGGATGCTCGCGGCGATGACAGCTCGGGATACACCACAGGCTCTACCAAGAGCAATCTGTTCAATCGTTAGTGCATTGCAGTATGGTTAAGATAATTCCCAACAAACCTTGCTAGGTACATAGCAGTAGATGACGTTTTTATCTTCACAGAGCAAAGGCAGGTGCAGAAGAATGGCAAGCGGGGTGGTATCGGCGGCCAGAATGACGATCTCAGCAATACCTCTGGACAGCGCCTTGGTCACTTCGTTCGCACCTTTCTTGAGCTGGCGGGCATCTATATAGGAGCATAATTAGTGGGCAGAAGTTAAGTAAAGGTAGTTGGTGTATACTCACGGCCAGCCTGTTGTACCAAATCTAAGATCTCCTGGGTAAGGGAAGCATCGGCGACGGGCCAAGCTGATGATAGGTCAATACGGTATCCGGACGGAGATGGTAGCTGTACTAGAACTTACCTGCACTTTGGTCCTGGTTAGCAGACATTTTGACGGAGCAGGGTTCCTTGCGGTTGCTCGCCCTGAAGAGGAATATGTGGAATAATGGGTAAAAGGTTAACGAAGTCTTGAGGATCGCAAGTGAAGAAATGTTTCAAGAAAGAAAAAAATACAAAAAATGTTCAACACGGTCAAAGCTTCTGAATGCCAAGCAATTTATTTGTCGGTCAAACCTTACGCCGATATCCGCTGACATAATCGATCCTGCAGGTGACCCGGAGCTGCAAAATCAAACCCCCAATCAAAGGCAAACCTGGAACAAGGCAAAGCAACACCTCTCTCCCCGTAATACCTTCTCAGTACCTACTAGAGCAACTTTAAACAATCTCTCATACTACCACAACTCTTTAAGCTTGCCATCAACACCCGGTTTAATCTACCACTCTCATCTGTCCGCCTCCAAATTATACCATTCTATATTTCTCTATTTTCGTTTTTACTTCTGAAAACCCGCTTACACCGTCACAATGTCATACTCCGAAGCTTGGTACGTAATTGATGATTCCCTCCTTACAACTGTCCTATCATCCTCGTCGTCATCATCGCAAGCTTAAGCCAGAATCGCTTTTGTTACTATTAGGCTTGTGATTTGTATACTTCAATATGCTAACGTTTTATTCTATAGCCCGGTCTACGCGGTTAGTTTACCTTTCCTTGGCGCGCGTCTCGGCCATCATTCCTCTATCCCTTAACCTTCGAGACAAATGCGACTCGATATACAAAACTAACCTCCGGTAGCCATTCTTCGGCGCCATGGGTTGCACAGCAGCCATCGTCTTCACCTGCTTAGGTGCTTCCTACGGAACCGCCAAGTCCGGTGTTGGTATCGCGGCCATGGGTGTTTTGAGACCTGACCTCATCGTGAAGAGTAGGCGCCATCTCTGGCCATCAATATATTCCGAACAGTAGCACTAATTTGTCTAGACATTGTTCCTGTCATTATGGCTGGTATCATCGGTATCTACGGTCTCGTCGTCTCTGTCCTGATTTCCGATGGTTTGACCCAACAGCTCCCTCTCTACACTGGGTTCATTCAGCTGGGTGCGGGTCTCTCGGTGGGTCTGGCTGGTCTGGCTGCTGGTTTCGCTATCGGTATTGTTGGTGACGCTGGTGTACGAGGAACCGCTCAGCAACCTAGACTCTTCGTCGGCATGATCCTTATCCTCATTTTCGCTGAAGTCTTAGGTCTCTACGGTCTCATCGTCGCTCTCCTAATGAACTCTAAGGCCAGCGTCGACGTTAGCTGTTAAAGAAACGCCGCCAACACCACAGCGGCCTTCTATACGATGCGGTAGTTTGAGGATAAGGAACAATGGCATGTTGTTACTGAATACGCTTGGCATGTTCCCATCTTATAGGTTACTTCGTCCGAACGAACTACATACGACTTAAATTACGGCAAAGACTAGCCCAGCAACCGAAGACAAGAAACTACGAGTTCTAAGGCTGTCAGGGGATGTGTGATAAGAGTGGTAGAATGGGGCATATGGCGATGATTGAACAAGAACCCGCATTTGTATTACTTGTTGCTGCATATGTTGTACGCTCCGGAACGGTTTCTCATCATAGACTAATGGATGGGAAATTATGTACTCTAGGTTGGTAATTGGTTCTTATGGAAGAAAGAGTTTTCTAAATCAAAATTTTTATTCGCCATTAAAAATGCAACCAATCCGTCGTGCACATATTGGCGTCTCACAAGGCGCGGCCTATATACTCCAAGTCACACTTAATATTTGTCACTGACCGAATAATCCGACATTGTGATTTGAATTCGATACAAGGCGTTAGTTATACTATACTTGTCAACAGACACCACTTACCTAGGACATCATTACGAAACTATCTATCGGACTTGTAAATGCAAGGCGCTTAGTTCAGAAACACTTGGTGAGGCTATTCCTCATATTACACGCTCTTAGTCTTATATCTCGGATTAATAAAAAGTAATTTCTCAGTAGTATAAGAGGAATAATCGCTATCTGCGTTGTGGGATTGACACAGGTATTTCTAGAAATCCAGAGTTACAATTAATCACGGAAAGACATTTTGCTCAAGTTGTAAAACCAAGTAAAAATGATTAAAAAATTGAAATCACACATGTCATGTCCTCGGTGAGGCTCGAACTCACGACCTTTGGATATCCCAACCTGGGGTTGGATCATATTGCTATGAGACCAACGCTCTGACCAACTGAGCCACGAAGACTTTGAAGACGGTGCTTCGGAGATACGAGTCGGCGTCTTAGCAGAGTTTAAGTACTAAATTAGCCACTTTGCTATCATAGGTTTAGGCTTATCAATTTGATCTAACTTACAAACATCGTCGGCTTCGGAGCTCGGGTTTTATCGTATTCAGTAATATACCAATATACGTGCCTCATATTTACAAACTTAGTGTCAAGATTCTATATGAGACATCTAGGATATAGGACAAAGAACATGTTCAGTACCTATGTATAGGCTATAGCCATAGAGTCCCGTGGTTAGATTAGAGTCTCTTCCAGAATAACGAAGATGCTGTTTGGTTCCACCTCGTGAGTTGTGATACTCAGAAAAAAAGAGGAAAGGGATTCTAACGTGGGAGGGTATCTAGAAAGGCTTTGTCCAGTCTTAAGTCCACTCAATTCAGTTCTACCACTTAAGCCACCAATACTAATCCTAGGTTGGTTACACATCAAGCTTCTAGAGAAGGAGTAAACGAGCTGATAGGAAATCACACAATTCCTTCCGTTAGGCTTAGGTATGCTCTTAAGTGGCAGCGAGACACGGTGCATTGCTGTTAATAAAGCCATACCTAGATACCTAGGTTAGGTACCTAATATAACCAGAATAATCAAAGTATACCCTTAAGTGCTAGAAAATCCAGTGTACATTTCATTTATACTAACAAATTAAGACCTCAAACCCACATTTGCCACTTTAAGGATACTATAGAACGATTAGCCGATTAAATTTACAGTTTACCTCTGTTCAATGTGCTGTAATTATGATGATGTACCAGGTAGCTACATCAGCGCATCTATGGCGCATAAAGAGAGCCAGAGTTTTGCGTGACATAAGAGATCCTTTGCACCTGCCCATAGCATTGCTCTACTATTCCCACGTGATAAGTGGATGTACTGTATCTTTAGTTAATTTTCACTGCGTCGTTAAAGACTTAAAGTTACTGCTGCAATGCGTCCAAGTTACATGCACCCCATACTCCATGTCTCCAAAGACCACGTCGAATAAGAAGTCTGCATATCCGCGTATTCCCTTCCGCCTCTTTCCCCCACAGACGCACCTCTCGTTTAAATAATTTACCTGCTGGATCTAGGTAGCTACCTATGTACCGTAGCTATGCGCTCTAGCTATGAGATCACCAGCTCGTGACCATAATGACCATAATGACCATAATGTAGTTATTATATAAAGGCCGAGGAAGCCCCCGAGAAGGGGAGCTTAATGAGAGTGAAGTAGACCAGGTTGCAATGAAGACACTCATTACTCTAGCTGCCTTTGTGGCCGGCGCTCTTGCGGCGTTCGTTGAGGATTGTCCTGGTTATACAGCTTCAAATGTTGTCGATGCCGATGGTACGCTCACTGCGGACTTGTCTCTCTCTGGTAATCCATGCAGCGTTTACGGAACAGACCTACCCGACCTCAAGTTGCTAGTTGAGTATCAGACTGGTGTGTCGTCCATGCTCAATCTAAAGTCTCTATGATAGTAAACTAACCAAGCAACATACAGATGCTCGGCTACATGTGAAGATATATGATGCCGGCCTTGATGTATACCAGGTACAGGAACATATACTTCCGAGGCCATCGAGCCAAAACGTTTCTTCGTCAGATGCCGCCCTACAGTTTTCGCTTATAGAAGAACCCTTCTCCTTTTCTATTAGACGATCTGGCTCAGGAGAGTTCTTGTTCAACACTAATGGTAGTCAACTGGTTTTTGAATCTCAATATGTTTACCTTAGAACCCAATTACCTAAAGATCCCAATATATATGGCTTAGGCGAGCACACTGACTCTTTTCGACTCCCCACTGAGAAATACCAGCGTACTTTCTGGAACTCAGAGTCGCCATTCATTCCGCGGCACGCGAACCTCTATGGGACTCACCCGATGTATCTTGACCATCGAGGCGCTTCGGGTTCTCATGGTGTCTTTCTCTTGAATTCTAACGGGATGGACATGAACATAGACCAGACAGACTCGGGTGACCAGTTCCTAGAGTACAATATCATTGGCGGAGTACTTGACTTTTATTTCTTGGCCGGGCCCAGTCCCTCCGAAGTTAGTCGACAGTATGCTGAGGTTGTGGGCTTGCCTGCTATGATGTCTTACTGGACCTTTGGTTTCCATCAGTGCAAGTATGGGTATTGGGATGTCAATTACGCAGCCGAAGTTGTTGCCAACTATTCTACGGCAAATATCCCCCTCGAAACGCTATGGGGCGATATCGATTATATGGATCTTCGACAGGTTTTCACTACAGATCCAGAGCGGTTTCCTTTACACAAGATGCGAGAGCTAGTCGATACTCTCCACAAGAGGAACCAGCATTATATTATGATGCTCGATCCTGGCATTCATAAGGCTGATAACTACTCAACTTTCACTAGAGGCGAAGAAAAAAGCGTTTTCCTCAAAGCTGAAGACGGATCTGACTATCGCGGAGTGCAATGGGCTGGTGAGGTTGTCTGGCCGGACTGGATCGCACCAAACACCCAAGACTGGTGGACGAACGAGATCTCGCTCTTTTTCGACCCTGAAACCGGTATAGATATCGACGGGGCCTGGAACGACATGAACGAAGCGTCCAACTTCTGTCCTGACATCTCGTGCGACCCGGCACAAGTAGCTAAACAAGGCAATAACCCCCCTCAGCCAGCCAATCCTCCCCGTGACAACACCGGACGATCCATCCCCGGGTTTCCAGATGACTTCCAACCAGCCCCAAGTGCCAAGTCTGGAAAGCTCAAATCCAGGCAGACGACCAGTGGGCAGATGAAGGGTCTCCCCGACCGCGATCTCTTCAAGCCCAAGTACCGCATCAACAACCACAAAGGTGAACTGAGCGACTCCACACTATACAGTAACATTACAAACGCAGACGGCACATACCAGTACGACACGCACAACCTCTACGGTCTTACCATGATAACCGCAACACGCAACTCGCTCCTAACCAGGCGACCCGGAAGACGTCCCTTCGTACTAACACGGTCGTCCTTCGCAGGCGCCGGATCCCGCGCCGCGCACTGGTTCGGTGACAACAACTCAACGTGGTCGGATTACCGAGTGACCATCCCGCAACTCCTAGGCTTCGCGGCCGTGCACCAAGTCCCCATGGTAGGATCCGACGTATGCGGCTTCAACGGGGCCGCTGACGAGCACATGTGCGCAAGATGGGCGCTGTTGGGCGCTTTCATGCCCTTCTACCGCAACCATGCGGATATCTCCGCCCCGGCGCAAGAATTCTACCTCTGGGACCTGGTTGCAGAAGCCGCGCGCAAGGCTATCGATGCTCGGTATAGGTTGCTCGATTACGTGTACACGGCGATGTATCGCGCCAGCACGTCGGGCGAACCGATCGCCAACCCGCTATTCTTCATATATCCGCAGGATGTGAAGACGTTTGGGATTGACACGCAATTTTTCTACGGGGATGCGCTATTGGTTTCGCCTGTTACGGAGGACTACTCTGAGTCTGTTACATATTACTTGCCGGACGATATCTTCTACGACTTCTGGACGTTAGAGCCGGTTCGAGGAACAGGTGGTACGGTTGCCGCGGATAATGTGACTTGGACTGATATCCCCGTGCATATTCGTGGCGGTACGGTGCTGCCGCTGCGGACAGAGTCGGCAAATACTACCACGTTGCTGCGGCAGAATGATTTCCAGATTATTGTTGCTCCGGGCTTGGATAGGAAGGCGAAGGGGTCTCTGTATCTGGATGATGGGGATAGCCTGGATGTGGGCGATACTAAGTCGGATATAAGCTTAACGTGGGATGGGACGACACTCAAGGCTGATGGTACCTTTGGGTATCCGACTGAGGTTGTGGTGGAGAGTGTGGTGGTTCTCGGCGGCAAGAAGCCGGTTACTCAGAAGGGGCCGTGGCCCCTTGATGGACCATTTGAAGTTACATTCCAATCTTGAGTCGAAAATTGAAAGTGTTGAGTCAGTAGTAGCTACTATATGTCAAACTGGTATTTTCGAATATAGGAGAATTATAAAAATATATTATGGGTTACCTACTAGGTATCTAAGTTAACCTCGAAGGCCCCCTTTCTCTTAGCTGTAATCCTGCTCAGCACAGCTATTCCAAGTGTCAGCGAGTAATGATATAACCACCTAGTTAGAGGCGTTCTACGGCCTATTGAAAAGTATCTTGGAAGTCTTTATAATTAACGACCTTTTGATAAACTATGTTCAGGCTTATTTAGTTGCCTAGGTAGGTACCTGTTAATATATTAAGACATGGTCGACTGTCATAGTTGTAAAGCATATTTCACTTAGTCGTACTATTTTTGCTAGGTAACTCTAATACTAATTTGTCTAGTCTCGTTTCTATACAGCTTTATGTTACTTTACTATCACTCATGAAAGAGTTTTATAGGCACGATGTTTGTAGAAGAGTTAAAGCATGCATGACTTATTGATATCTGTCCACATAGAAGCAGGCTTCACTGGTTATAATTTAATTCTCGACAAGCGTTATACTAATGAAAATGTGTATGTCTTCGTTGACGTTAGGGTTTATATATGCCAATGCAAGTCCAACAGAATTTTCATGTAAGTAAGCCTAGACATTTTTCCTGCTCTTGCTTTTTGTAGTGTTGATGTTGATACTAGCGGATATCACCTCAGTTACTTCAATTCACTACCTCTAGTCATGTACTTTTCACGTACCTAACGTACCGAAGTACTCATCCGTCTCACCCCTGCCTATGTAATCAGACCCACATACGCCGCCCAGGCAGCTAAAACGTTAAGAAAACCTTGGAAAGTGGGCATCGATGAAAAAGAAACTGCAGGCAAGGCAGGTGCATGAAATGATTACATAAGGACCCATCCCTCTGTTACGGTTTACAGTTTACCTCCACTACAGCTTTTGGAGCTCTAGGAACAGGAAGCATCTAATTTGCCTTGTTTCTAGCGCATTTCAGACTAATAACCTAAAGTCTCTTAAGTCTCTTAAGTCCCAACCAG